GCGGTGGCCAGGAACGGCCACTGCACTCCAGTCTGGGTGACAGAGTGAGACTCCAACTCAAAAAAAACCCAAAAAACAAAACAATTTATGATTGTTATTTGCCCTACCTGGCATCTGGACCATCATATCTCAGATCTCCCTAGTAATGACTGATAGGGGCATGATATTTTTATAACCAAGAGTAATGAACAATACACCTTACCTAATTATCTAATTCTATTTCTCACCATACAAAACTAAATTTTCATGTCTTCTCAGAACCAGTTCATCCTTTTGTATTTTGCTGTTTCCCTTGCTAGTAAGTTAAATGTTAATGTGTGCAGGCTTAATTTGTTTTAGAAATTTGCCATACTAATGTGCTTAAAACCCTAAGTCTTTGCCATGGCTTACCAGGCCCCTCTCCACCAGTATTCTTCCCCCCACCCCTATGTTACATCCCTGTCTTCTTTTGTTATCCTGAGCACACCCTAATCTCTTCAACCCTATCCTTCACATTCTGTTGGGAATGATTTGCTTGCTGTCCTACTTAGCTAACTCCTGTTCAACATCTCTTCAGTGAAGACTCCCTGATCAGCTGGATCAAGTAAGTACCCTTGTTGGATGGAGCCAAAGTCCCCTACATTTGCTCTTTTTAGCACTCATCGACCTTGTCTTTATTCAGTGCCCACCTTCCCAACCACACTGAGAGATTCATGAAAGCAGGACCTGAAGCTGCCTTGAACACTTTAATTATACCTAGCTTCTGGCACCATGCCTGGTTCAGAAGAAATGCTTGTTTCACTTGGGATCTTTGGTGGCAAGCAACCAAAAAGGAATATGGAGAAGGATTTATGGTGGAGAACGGAGGCTCAAGGGGAGCCAGTTCTAAGAACAGGACCAGTCATCCAGCCAAAGACCACCAGAAACACACCTACGGTGTTATTTGTTGCAATAAGGGAGAACACACACCATGAGAAACTGTGGGCTTCTCAATAAGATGTTAAAAAGGATTTATTATAGGATTTTGGCTTGTGTTGTGTTTTTTCAGGAAAGGTTCAAGGAAGTGGGCTTCTCTTTGGATTATATGCTGTCAGGAAGCATGAGTATTTCTCTGATTGGACGACTTAATAAATCTTGCTTGTGAAGTGGGAGGAATGAAGAAAGCGTAAAGCTATAAATGTAAAGAAGAAGAAGTCACTCACATTAGTCAGCTTAATGGGATGTTTGGTCATTTTTGTGGTTTGGAGAATGTTCAAGTTTTTGTCTGTGTTCAGAAGTGATTACGGTGTGGGTTTTGTTTTTGCCTTGATTATCACAGTAAGGGTGGCTTTGTCTGATGTTGATGTTTTGTGAAATTGTTTATGTTCAACAGGAGAACACCAAAGCCCAATTGTGAGTGTGTCAGGGCAGATCCTAGCAATATAAAGCTCTCAGTGATAGAGCCAGACCAATTCTTCACAGTCTCCTTGAATATCTGTGCTTGAGACTTAGAGTCCTAGCAGAGAGAGCTCATTTGGCCAAACGTAGATCACACTCTCACTCCTTGGCTGTCCTGAATCTGTGAGAGATTATCAGGTGCAAGTCAGGCTGACATTCAACCAGGATACATTGCATGGCATATTGGGTTCTTAAAATAGAGAAATACTTCCCAACTGGTTGGTAAAATATGTGATGCCCCTCTCCTGAGGCCCCAGGAATCTTTTAAAATCCAGTCACTGAAAGATTAAGGCCTGGCTCATTCTGATTGGCTGATGTCCCTGCCTGCTTAGTTATTTAGTATTTTTTTGTTTGTTTTTTGAGTTGGAGTTTCACTCTGTCACCCAGGCTGGAGTGCAGTGGAATGCTCATGGCCACTGCAGCCTCTACCTGCTGGGTTCAGGCAATCCTTCCGCCTTAGCCTTCCAAGTAGATGGAACGACAGGCGTGCACCAACACACCTGGCTAATTTATTGATTTATTGTAGAGATGAGGTCTCACTAAGTTGCCCAGGCTGGTCTCGAACCCGTGGGCTCAGGCAGTCCTCTCATCTCGGCCTCCCAAAGGGCTGAGCCACTGTGCCTGGCTGCTATTTAGTATTTTGAATATAACCTTTGGGTGAAAGAGTCTTCAGGGTAGCACTGATTCTCCCACCATCACTGATCTTGAGATGGGAAAAGTAATTCCCCAACAGAAAATTAGGATACTGTGAGCAAAGAGGAAGGGATACCTGCCAAGTGGCCAAATAAGAATACATGTGTTTGATAAATTGTTCATTAAATGATTAATGTTGGATAGAGAGAGGGACAGATGGATGAAAGTACCTAGACTGAATGCACATATCTAATAGGAAGAAAGCAGTCAAGCAGACTATAGGTTACATCACTCCATCATACATTCGGAACTTAATCTCTTCACTCCAAAGGATGGGGATGTTTTAAAACAAGTTCTTCTTCCTTTTAATTCCTTTTGAGCAGGTCCCCAACACTTTTCTTACCTGTACCGAGAGAATGCTAGCCAGCCCTGGCACCAGGGTCAGAGGCTGGAGCCAAGGTTGAGGTATCAGACTCCTTTGTGAGGTGGCCTGTGACAGGGGTGCTATGAGGCAAGGACTACCCCACCCCATTTGGCTGTATCAGCCATGCCAGTCCTTTCCTCCCTCACACCCTCTGCCTGACCTAAGCTTTGCCATGTTGCTGCCGCTGCTGGGTGCCTGTTTTGTGGTGGGACCATTCCAGGACCCTGAGTGGGAGCCAGTGTGGAACCTGCTCTCCCAGAATCGCAGCTGCAGGGACCCTCGGTGCTGCAGCAACCTGCTCGTCTTCTGCCTCTTTCTGATCTGGCAGGTCCGGCACTATTGGCACCAGGTCACCAGGACCCGCCTCAGCATGAGGAATGTCATCAAGGTGAGGGGGCCCCACACGCTTTCACTCTCCTTCCCTCAGCACCATGATTGTCCCAGTTACAAGGACCTTGTTCTCTGTGTACAAGAGATGAATCAGAGGGGAATTCAGACTGGTCAGGAGGAGCATTGTCCAGGCCCCAAACCCAGGAGTCACCCCAAACTTCTTTCCCTCATGTCACAGTTCAATCTATCTGTAAGTCCTGTGTGCTCTACTTGTAAATTGTATCTCAAATCTGATCACTTTTCCCAACATACCACACCACCCTGGGCAGAGCCACCATCATTGTCTCACCTGGACCATAGTGATAGCCTTCTGCCCAGTTCTGCCACTTCTCTCATCTAACTACAGCCAGTCCTTCACACAAGCAGCAGAATAACCTCCTTCTCTCTCTCTCTTTTTGAGTCGGAGTCTCACTGTCGCCCAGGTTGGTGTGCAGTGGCATGCTCATGGCCATCTCAGCCTCAATCTGCTGGGCTCAGGTGATCCTTCTGCCTCAGCCTTTCAAGTAGGCTGGTGCGTGCCATATTAAGAAACAGCTGGAACTACAAGTGTGGACCACCACACCTGGTTAATTTTTTGATTTATTGTACAGACGTGGTCTTACCAAGTTGCCCAGGCTGGTCTCAAACCCTGGGCTCAGGCAGTCCTCTTGCCTTGGCCTCCCAAAGTGCTGGGATTACAGGCTTGAGTCACCATGCCCAGCTTTCTCTCTTTTTTTTTTTTGAGTTGGGGTCTCACTCTGTCGCCCAGACTGGAGTGCAGTGGCCACCGCAGCCTCGACCTGCTGGGCTCTGGCTATCCTTCCGCCTCAGCCTTCCAAGTAGCTGGAACTACAGGCGCGTGCTACCATACCCGGCTAATTTTTTGATTTATTGTAGGGATGAGGTCTCATCAAGTTGCCCAGGCTGGTCTCGAACCCACAGGCTCAGGCAATCCACTCACCTCAGCCTCCCAAGGCACGGGATTACAGGCTGAGCCACCGAGCCCGAGCCCGGCGCTCTTTCTCTCTTAAAAAAATTTTTTAAGACAGCAGGTGCAGTGGTTCATGCCTATAATCCCAGCACTTTGAGAGGCCAAGGTGAGAGGATTGCCTGAGCCCACGGGTTCAAGATCAGACTGGGCAACTTTGCGAGATCTCTTCTCTACAATAAATCAATAAATCAGCCAGGTATGGTAGTGGAAGGATCACCTGAACCCAGCAGGTTGAGGCTGTGGTGGCTGTTAGTGTACCACTGCACTCCAGCCTGGGCAACAGAGTGAGACTCCAACTAAAAAAAAAAAACTTTTTTTTTTTTTTTTTAGTTCAAGGATAATATATGCAAACACATTACAAGTGTGTAGATCAAAGAATTTTTACAAATAGAACACATCCATGTGTGGCACCCATATAAGAAACAGTCCAGTAACAGCAGCCCAGAAGTTTGTAGTTACAACTCTGCTGATTTCTAGTAGCACACACCAGTTTTACCTATGTGGAATTATGTGGTAGGTATGCTTTCGAGCCTGGCTTAAGCCCAACATAATGCTTGTGAGCCGGAACAAACTTTTAAAAATAGATCATAGCACTTCACTGCTTAAAACCTATGAATGGCTCCTGTGGCTACACTCCCCACTAAACCCAGAACAAAATCCAATTTTTTTTTTTTTTTTGAGTTGGAGTCTCACTCTGTCACCCAGGCTGGAGTGCAGTGGTCGCTCCCGGCCACTGCAGTCTCGACTTGCTGGGTTCCGGCGATTCTTCTGCCTCAGCCTTCCAAGTAGCTGGAACAACAGGGCACGCTACCACGCCCGGCTAATTTTTGATTTATTGTAGAGATGAGGTCTCGCTAAGTTGCCCAGGCGGGTCTTGAACCCGCGGGCTCAGGCAATCCACTCATCTCAGCCTCCCGAAGGCACGCGATTACAGGCTGAGCCACCGAGCCCGGCTAAATTTTTTTTTTTTGAGTTGGAGTCTCACTCCATCACTCAGGCTGGAGTGCAGTGGCATGCCCACGGCCACCCTAGTGTCAACCTGCTGGGCTCTGGCAAGCCTTCCGCCTCAGCCTTCCAAGTAGCCAGAACTACAGGTGCGTGTTATCACATCTGGCTAATTTTTTTCTTTTTTTTTTTGAGTTGGAGTCTCATTCCATTGCTAAGGGTGGAGTGCAATGGCATGCTCATGGCCACCGCAGTCTCGACCTGCTGGGCTCCAGCAATCTGTCTACCTCAGCCTTCCAAGTAGCTGGAACTACAGGCACACGCTACCACACCTGGCTAATTTTTTGATTTATTGTAGAGATGAGGTCTTGCCAAGTTGCCTGGTGGGTCTTGAACCTGTGGGCTCAGGCAATCCACTCTCCTGGGCCTCCCAAAGTGCTGGGATTACAGACTGGGCCACCGAGCCTGGCCCAAATCCAAACTCTTAACCACAACTTCAGGACCCAACATAATCTGTCCTGTGTTTGTCTCTGACCACATCTCCCAGTGCTCTCCTCATTACTGGTTCCATTCTGGCCACATGGACTTCTTTGCTGTTTTGTACATATGATCTTGCCTCATCCTCAAGCCTTTGCACTTAATGTCTCTTCTACCTACAACTCTCTTTCCTCAGATGTCACTTGGTTTGTCCTCACTTCATTCAGGTTTCCAGTCAAATGTCACATTTTTCAAGAAGCCTTCCCTGGTTACCCTATCTAAAGGAGCTACCACTGCCCACTCTGCTTTTATTTCCATCAGAACACTTAATGGCCAGGTGCAGTGGCTCATGCCTGTAATCCCAGCACTTTGAGAAGCTGAGGTGGAAGGCTTACTTGAGCCCAGGACTTTGAGACCATACTGCTCAACATAGTGAGACATTGTCTCTACAAAAAATAAAAATATTAGCCAGGAGTGGTGGGGCTCGCCTGTAGTCCCAGATACTTGGGAAGCTGAAGTGGGAGCATCACATGAGCCCAGGAGGTCAAGGTTGCAGTGAGCCATGACCATGCCACTTCACTCCAGCTTGGGTGAGAGAGTGAGACCCGGACTCAAAAAAGAAAAAAAAAGAAGCCAGGCTCGGTGGCTCAGCCTGTAATCCTGCACCTTTGGGAGGCTGAGGTGAGTGGATTGCCCGAGCCCGCGGGTTCGCGACCTGCCTGGGCAGGCGAGACCTCATCTCTACAATAAATCAAAAAATCAGCCGGGCGTGGTAGCACATGTCTATAATTCTGACTACTTGGAAGGCTGAGGTGGAAGGATCACTGGAGCCCAGCAGGTCGAGGCTGTGGTGGCTGGGAGCGGCCACTGCACTCCAGTCTGGGAGACAGAGTGAGACTCCAACTCAAAAAAAAAAAAAAGAACACTTTTTGCTACTTAACATTATGTTGTATAGTTGGTTATTATCTTTCTTTCATTTCTAGACTATTGTTCCCAGCAGGGACTTTGTCTTGTTCCTGTTGGTACCCCCAGCACCAAGAACAGTCTGGCCCAGAGTAAACTTTTGGTCTTTCTTGAATGAATGAATACTGTTTGTCTTAAGAGAAGTGACCCCCTACCTGTTCCTGAGTCTGAACATTCTCATCTGGGTAGTTGAGTTGGAATTCTGATCTGAGTGGATTATACGAGCTAGTATGTGTCCAAGAATTTACTTCTCGGTTTTCACCCACAGGTGCCATCACAGAAGTGGGCAGTGTCCTCCATGAGCCATGAAACTTTCTTTGGGATGACTCCTGAATTCTTCAGTCCTGGCAAGTTCAGGAGCCTGGAGGCTCATGTCCAACAATGGGCACACAAGCAGAGATGGGGATATCAGAGGAGCCTCCAGGAATCACGGACCTTATACCTTTATTCTCCACAGCAACCATGTCAGGGCCCAACTTGGGGTGCCCACACCCAAACTGAGCCCATACTTTGTACCACTTCCTTTTCAAACAGCTGTCTTCTCCTTCAGGACAGTTCCTGGAAAGCATGGCGCGTACCCTTGTGTCTCAGTGATGACCAGACTCGTCCTGCCTTGGACATGTGCCAAAAAATGGAGCAGCTGCTAGTTCACTCCCAGGAAAAGTTAGCGGCACTGGAGCCTGTTGTCAGCATGAGGTCTCACCCCACCTCCATGACTACCTCTCTTCCAAACCTTCCTTCAGCTTGGAGGCAGCAGTTCTGCCCCAGAGATTTCCTGCCTGATCCTTCCAATCAACCTCTAGGAATGTGCACCTGGAAGTCCTGGGGCTACCCACAAGAGGCCTGGGTACCAGGGGGTGAAAAACAGACAGTAAGCAGAGAGGATAGTAGAGAGATGCAAGCTCTAGGGTGGGTGAGCCAGAGAGAAAGCAGATGGGAGAATGCTTGGAAAATCCAGGCCTCTGGGGAGCAACTCCCAATAGACTTTGGAATGAGGGATGATGCAGAGACTAAGGCACTGGGGTGTGGAAACCAGAGAATAGTAATGAATGAAATTGATGGAGAGATCCTGAAGGCAGTGTGGGAGAACCAGGATCAGAGGGAAGTTGAGAATATAGCCAAGATACAGGAACTAAGGAAGACAAACCAGAAGGAGGATAAAGATAAGAATCCTCCAGAAACCCAGACACATATGGGAGAGAACCATGAACAGTTAAGATGTAGAATTGATGCAGAGACCCAAACTCCCAAGCTGGGGAACCAGGATAGGAATGGAGGTGAGGGTGCTGTGGAGATCCAGATATTTGAGAGGAAAAACAAGAGAAAAGCTGGAGGGGAGGATGAGGGAGAGATTCAGGAGGAGACCCAGATGCCAGAGTGGGGAAAACAAGACCAGATTAGAGATGATCCTGGTGCAGAAATTCAGACACAAAAGGGGAGGAACAAGGATCAGGTTGGAGGTACAGATGCTGTGCAAACCCAGTCATCTGGTAGGGAGAACCTGGGAGAAGTAAAAAAAAAGGATGGTGTGGAGACCCAGGCCTTGGAGTGGGGGAAAGAGGAAAGCAATGGAAGTGAGAATGTTACAGAGATCCAGACATCAGGGTGGGAGAAACAGGAGCAGAGTGGAAGTGAGACTGCTTCAGAGACCCAGGAATCTAGGGGAGAGAACCAGAAACTATTAAGACATGAAACTCAAGTGGGGTGGGGAAGCCAAAGCATGGGAAGAGGTGAGGAAGCTGAGGAAACCCAGATATCTAGCAGGAAGTGGCTCAGGGAGATAAGACAGGAGGATTGGGTGGTGATCCAGGCACCATGGTGGGGAAACCAGAGGCTAGTAGCAAGTAGAGTTGACAGAGAATTTGATATACTATGTTGGGGAAGTCAGAACCAGATTGGAAGTGAACATAGAGTGGAAATTCACGCACCAGAGAAGAGAGGCCAGGGAGAGGATGGGCATAAGATTGAGAACCAGGAACAATTAAGAGATGAAACTGATGTGAAGATCCATCCAGCAGGGAGGAAAAATAAGGAAAAGCTTGGAAATGAGAATGGTACAGACATTCAGGCACTAAGGAAGAGAATCCCGAAAGAGGTAAAAGGTGATAATGATAAGGAGACCTGGAAACTTGGGGAAGAAAATAAAAGTCAGTCAGGAATTGAACTGAATGATAAGATTCACATACCAAGGTGGAAGAATCAAGAACCTACTAATGGCAAAAATGGTACAGTTACCCAGACATCTGAGGCAGAGAACTGGAGTGAATTAGCAAGCAAAACTGATGGAGAAACCCATTCAGCAGGATGGAAAAAAGAGAAGACTGGAGGCGAAAACAGTGCAGAAATTCAGGTACAAGGGAAGAGAAACCTGAGAGAAGTTGGAGGTGAGGATGGTACAGAGACCTGGACACCTGGGGAAGAAAACCAGAATCAGTTAAGAAGTGATTTTGATAGAAAGACCCTTTTATCAGAGTGGGAGAACCAGAAACAGATGGGAGACAAGAATGGAACAGAAATTCAGGACCTAGACGAGGGAAAACAGAGAGAACCTGAAGGTAAAGACAGTATAAAGACCCGGAGACCTGAGAGAGAGAACCAGGCACAGTTAGATAGTGAAATTGGAGGGAACCATTCACCAGGGAGCAGGAACTTGGAGCAGATTGGAGGAAAGAGTATTGTAGAAAATCGGGCATCAGAGAAGAGAAACCAGAGAGAAGTTGGAAGTGAGGATGGCAGAAAGATCCAGAGATTTAGGGGAGAGAACCAGAGACTGTTAAAGAGGAAAGTTAATGGAAAGACCTGTCCATCAGAGTGGAAGAACCAGAAACAGATTGGAGGTGGAAATGAAGGAATTAAAATACAAGGGAAGAGAAACCTGAGAGGGACCACAGGTGATGATGATATGGAAACCCAGGCTCCTGTGGGAGATGACCAGGGACAATCAAGAAGTGAAATTGGTGGAGAGATCCAGGCACAAGGGCAAGGAAACCAGATTGAAGGTGGAGATGAGGATATTGCAGGGCCCTGGGCTGAAGGGAGCCAGAGAAAGTACACAGCTGAGGATGCTGGAGGGCCTCAAGCACCAAGGGGAGGAAACAAGGACTGGGTCACAGGAAAGGGTGCTGTGAAGGCCAGTCTCCAAGTTGACTGTTCTGGAGATGAGGGGCCCACAAGCAGGAAGCACAGCCCAGCACGGCTTCCCACCTTCACTGGTTCTGGATATGAGGTCATGGAACAAGAACAGACAGTGGCTGTAAATGGTTTCGTCTCTGCTCCATGTCTTGGGATGAAGCTTCTCCCCCTCTGGAGTGAGGTCTTCCTGCTGGCTGGAGGGAAGGGAGAGCATCTGGCCAGCCAGGGCACAGCCCTTGCCAGGGAGCACAGAGTGAGGGTCAGTTCAACTTCCCAACAGATCCGACCTAAATCCTGGAGAAGACGACAAAGGGACAAAGGAACGGATCCAGGGAAGGCCTCCACCCTGACTCAGCAGCCCCAGAACCCACAGTCTCTGGATGCTCCCTTGGTGGTGCCCTTTGCCTGCCCCTCTCTACTGTGTGGTCAAGCCCCTCAAGCTGCCACAGCTCTGGTCGGTGCTCCTATTGCCCTCACTGTCCTGCCCAAGTGGCCAATCCTCAAGAAGAGCAAGCGACTGCTCCTGGAGTCCCTCATGCGGAGGAGGATCGCACATCTGAAATGGGGCTTACCCCGACGGATCCTGGAGTCCTATTTGCTGTTTTACTTCTTAGGATCTTGCTCATTGCCCCTTGCTGGGGTGAGGCTCCCTGGACTACACACGGATCAGAAACTCCAAGGGCAGCAGGAAAAGTATTGTGAAGCTCAGGGCTCCACACCAGGCCTCAAGTCCCCAGAAAGGTTCCCAAACAAAAAAAGCCCAAAAGTTCCCACAAAGACTGGAGCGCTGAAGTATAGACCACACCTGTCAGAGCCAAAGGGCGTTTCCATCAAGTCCGAAAAGTCCCGGAGAGTCATGCCACTAGGGGGTGTTAGAGAACCACAGGAGATACAGGAAGTGGCTTTTAGGGCCAAGCTCCCTGCTCCCAGGAACTGCAGGCCTGCAGGGGAGTCTAGGAACTGGTGTGGCCAAGAAAGGGTCCGCGAGCCTTCCAGTGAGAACAGCAGCAACAGGAAAATGGCCAGGCCAGGGGTCTCCCAGATAGCAGAGAGAACTCTTAGCAGAGTGAGGACCTCATCCTCCAGGGCAGGCCATGCCCACTGGAGGAAAGAAAGCACATCCTGGAAGGTTTCTAAACCCCCGGGACTCAAATATCAGCAGCCAACAAACTGGAGAAGAGGAAACCTGAAACCTGCAGAGGGCAGAGGGGCTGGGCAACAGCCTTTCTCTGATTCCACAGAAACCTTCAACTTCAAAAAGAGTTTCCGCTCTCCTGCAGCAAAGCTAAGCATGACCCTTTTGAACAAGATATCCTGGTCCCCACAGCTGGTCAAGCGCCAGCACCCAACCCCTAATCTGAGCCCAAAGGAACCTGATCCTACTCTTCTTCCCAAAGTGAGTGACCCACATGTAGGGGAGGACAGCACTGGAGACCACACTTCTTTAGAGAGAGACCTTCATCCACCAGGTCAGTGCTGTGCTGGGGCCACTCTTCCCAAGACAGAGAGCCCCCAGGGTCAGTGGGCTCCTGGGAACCCAAATAAGGCCCCACAGAACACACCAGCCTCCACGAAGTTTGGTTTTATGAAGCATTTGAGGTTTTTTCTCTTCCAATGTGGCTTTAAAAAGTAGGCCTCAGGCCCAGAGTCCTCACGACTCAGAGAAGACTTTAGAATGACCTGCTCCCCCCAAAGCTTCTAATAAAATTGGTTATTTGGACTCTGTGGGGTTCTGATTTCTTGGGCACATGCTTTCCAAGTGCCCCTTTTCGAGGTTTGGGATATTTTGTGGGTGGGGTAGAAGCCACTTCTACCCTGTGGTTTTGAAGGTTTAGAGAATGTGGGTCAGCTCAATGACCTCTTCTAAACACCTCCCTGTTAGGGTCTGGATAGGATGAGGGCGGATGGCTGGAGGGAGTGAGGGGTACAGGGAGGTGCAGCACTGGCGGAGCCAGCAAGCTGGAGGTGCGCACTGGCAACCCAGAGATCTGAGTAAATGCAAAGAATTGAACCGGGCTCTGTGGCTCAGCCTGTAATGCCAGCGCTTTGGGAGGCTCAGGTGAGTGGATTGCCTGAGCCTGTGGGTTTGAGACCCGTCTGGGCAACTTGGCTAGACCTCATCTCTACAATAAATGAAAAAATCAGCCGGGCGTGGTAGCGCAAGCCTGTAATTCCAGCTACTTGGAAAGCTGAGGCGAAAGGATCGCCGGAGCCCAGCAGGTCAAGGCTGC